ATAAAATAATATTAATTTATATATTTTATTAAAATATTTATCAAAGTTTTATTATTTATAAAACAAAAAAAAAAATCTAGTTTTAAATTTTATGTAATTTATAATTTTTTTCAGAACTGTTATATTTGTTTTCTGATAACTAAATATATTTAAAAAAATAAAGGTTAAGGTGGCGTTTGGTTCGCAGGTTCTGTAGGAATCTGATGGAATTGAAATGTTGAAATTCATTGAACAAATTTCATTCTTTTGTTTGATTCATTCTTTTTCGCGAAAAGAATTTTCAAGATTCCACAAATTCCACAAATAAAAGAATTTAACATTCCTTAGCAACTAAATGGTATTTTGATGGAATTGAATCTCTATCTTCATTATACTAAATATGCCCTTAACCTAATATACTCTAATCTTATAAAACTCAATATGACCATCGTCGACCGCCTCTCGACCACTATTGATCTGAACCACTGCTGACCACCACCACCGACTACCACCGATCTGAACATTCCATTCCAATTCCATCAAAGTCAAATTCCTTTAACATATTTCATTTCATCCAAAAACATTTTGCGAACCAAACGCCACCTAATAGTTTGAAACTAGTGTTAATTAATAATATATAGTTAATATTTATTAATATTTTATAATAATAAATAAAAAGAATATTATTTAGAGGCAAAAAAATGGATAAAAGTTAATGAAACACATGAAATGCTACACATTTGAATATTATTTTTGAAACTAGTCATTATTATTTTAGTTTAAATTTTACATAAAGGAATTGAAATTTAAATAATATTAGAAATATAATATATAACATATAATATATATTTTAAATTAAATACAAACAATTTGAATTGTGTTTAAAAAAATAAATGAAACACATTATCTATACTATATTATAAAACATTTGACCAAAATTCTTAAAAAGATTTTTTTATAAATAATGTTTATTGATGTATATTACTTAAAATTCAAAATTACTGGTAGAATGTGCATGACTACATCTTATTAAAGTTTCATGTTTAAATTAATGTAACTAACTGAAGATAAACATAATCAAAGACATGATAAACATAATATCTATACTATATTATAATGCATTTGACTAAAACTCTTAAAAACTCTTAAACTCTTAAAACTCTTAAACCCGTTCATCCCTATCTGATTTCATCCCATAACTGAATTCGTGTAACTAACTGCA